GGGGGGGTGTCTAACTAAGGGTTAATAGCGCTGTAGTGTGGCTAACATGACTCCAGGATTTGCTGCCTCCCTGACAGTTTAGAGATGTCTGTAGGCTCTGTCTTCTTTGAGGCTGTGAGGAGACAGGTGGACAGACAGACGCGTTGGAAAACCACGGCCGTGTCACCTAGGGATGCCACACACCTCCTGCTGTCCCCCACATCCCCGCTTTCCCTGGAAGGTGGCTTTGCCCGTCTTAAATTGTTAACCAGAACTCATCAAACAAGCCGACACAAGGTGCGTTTCCAGAGGACAGGCTCGCGGGCATGGCGGAAAGACAGGGAAATCCGACACTGAACAGGACTGGGGGGGGAGGGAGGGGACAAGAAAAAGAGCTGCCTCCGTAACTTGTTGAGAGAGAGACTCGTTTGTGCTGTCCCACCATCGCCTAGAGATGTTGCTTTCCAAGCGCCTCGCACACGCAGAGGGTGATAACTGATGGCCTGATCTCACTGACTGTCACAGGCGTATCTATCAAATCAATCGGTATCGCGTGACTCATTTGCCGCGATGTTTGCCCAGCCTCAGAGCTGCCGGAGCTCCGGCCCTAGCGATGACTGTTTTCTCTCTCTCTACATAACGGAGCGGGGGAGCCAGAGAAAATGTAGGTGTCAACCCTCCCTCTCTCCACTGACTTGAAAAACCGCAGAGTCCCCACCACCCCCATCCAGCTGTGGGCCTGGTCAGGGACAACGCTTCGTGGTTTTGGGGCTTCCACATCACTGCGATCAAAACCAGGGGGAGACATTGCCAGCGACCGAGCAAACACCCGCCTCGCCTCGCCTCGCCCCGGCATCTCGCGGGCTGGGAGCTCTTCATCTCAGCATTGCTTTTCTTTTTTTAAAAAAAAATCTAATCCCATATGCTGCTTTTCTATCCTACTTTATGGTTTAATCTCGTGGCAGTGCCCGGCTCTGGCTTGGTAACCACCGCGTGTATTTCTTTATGCAACCAATACCGCTAAGGAACTGATTGAAAAATCTGTAGCAACCTAACGGTGCTGAAGTTGTGATTCTGCAAGGGGTGGTGGGGGTTGGGGGGTGTCCTTTGGTGAGACAAACAGGCAGATTTTTCCCATGAATAGTAATAATAACAACAATGAATAATAAAAAAAATCGGGTAATTTCCACTGCACACGCCGACCGAGTGTCGTTTGAATGGAACAAGCCCTCCCTGAAAATGCAACACCACCACCCGCCTCTCCTTTTAAACTCCTACTCAGGGCCATGGTGGTTTCTTCCGAAGAAACAAAAACAAAATCAAAACTTGTTTCTCCCGAGCTAAAAACCCTCTCCCGACGCCACTTCACAGGCGGAAAAAATCAAGCAACATTTTACAGCTTCTCCAATGTAGTTCGTGTCTCTCGGTGTGATAGAAGTCTTGGAAAGACGGAGGGCTTTGAAGTTGCTCTGTAAAAATCATGTGGATCGCTTTGGGAGAGCAGGGAAAGTTAAAGAATGATCCGGGAGCTTCTCAATTGTTTGAGAGAGAGAGAGAGAGAGAACAGCGGCCATTTAAATAAATAAAAAATGTCTGCACTGGCCTCTAGATATTGCAGGGCTGGGGGAACAGACTGAATCAGATAATTAAAACCACCACAAGAGCAGAATTTATCAATAAACGTGTGCAACGCAACATCCAGTCTGTGAACTTCCGCTTTGCCCTCTTAAATGAGCCATTCACTTAAAGGCTATTATGGGGGAATTAATAAATTACACAGCGAATTATTAAATCCAGATAATTACAAGGAATAAGTAAGTAATCATTAGTTATCTCAGCTAATTACTGCGGGTCAGAACGAGCTGGAATGTGAAATCCTCCTCGGGAATTGAAATTAACTTTGCACAGTGAGTCTCTCTGCTTGACATCCCTACTCTGTAGGCACATGGCAGCTCCCCTGTGAGCCTGGCTTTCTATTTAACTTGGAGAGAATGGAAATAAAATTAAGTGGCGATGTGATAATAGGAAAGCTGCTTAGAAAGCAAACGCCCTGGGTTTTATTTTTTACCTTTTACTGCCTGGAGATAGAAAGCTCTCTAGTCGCCAGAATAAAAAAAAAAAAATAGAAAAAAAGAAAAGAAAAGAAAGAAAAAAGAACCCCCCACAACAAAACAAAACAAAACAAAAGCCCCAAACCGCTTGCAATTAGACAGCTTTCCCCCAGTACCTGCCTGTCCCGCACATGCAGATGAATAACAAGCGGAGCTGGCTGAGGTCCGATCAGCCTCCCTCTTGCTGCCCGGGAGGGCAGCCCGGACAGAGCAGCTTTCGGGAATCAGTGGGCTTTGTTTTGGAGACAATCGGCTTTCATCTCCTAACTGGAGACCTCTCATTAGAGCAGCCTTGTTTCTTCTGCTGATCTTGCGCCAGATCTCCCCAAGAGCCAGTGTCATTCCCCCCCCCCCCCCCCCCCCCCCCCCCTTTCTCTCTCCTTTTTCTTTCTTTT